GTAGCAGCTGGGGAGGGTTACAGATTGTCACAGCATCTTCCTGTGAGCGGGTCAGTCAGGGCACATCTGCACGACATGGAAGATCAACGCTGCCACGGTCGATCGTTGGGGGTTGGGTTTAGCCGGGGCAGCACAGGCCTGCTAGATCGAACTCAAAGGGACGGGGATTTAAGAGACATCGCTCCAGCCACATGATTTACATAGCTGGAGTTGCCTGTCTTACGTCGACCTTCCCGTTCCGTGTGGGCCAGGCCCCGGAGGCCGTTGCGGTACTTCAGGTCCAGGTTGCACCCTGGAGAACCTGCTGTAGGAACATGCAGCACGAATTCAACAGAATAGAGCGGAACAGCTTGAGGAACAACGTGTGATTCTTGTACAAGAATGGCTCGAAGAAATAAAAGCAAGTGGGGAGACTCTAGGTTTCTGGAATATCATCGGGGAGAGTAGGAGTGTTCTGAGAAAACCGTCAGCGCCACACGGCCATCCGCATTTCTTTCCCCTCGCCCTTCCCTTTCTCCCTTTTCCCCGTCCCTGTCCGGCACACACTCTCAGGTTGGGTATAAATGGCCATTTATTTTCAGGCAGCTCCGGCTCATGACGTTCCGTCGTCAAACCCAGGTAGTGCCAGGCTCTGGAAAGTGTTCTGCATCCCGCCCTCCCCATGGGATCAGCAGCTCCACGATGGAAAGATCGTTGGGTGAACACAGCATCCCTCCTTCAGAAGAGTGTCCTGAGATAGACCAGGAGAAACTCACTCCCCATGCGTTCCGCCTGGCCACACCCCCTGTGAAACCAGGTGCCTTGGAAATGAAAAGTTCACTCTTGTTTCAACATGGAACTAGTTTTGCTTAAGCCAAACCAATTGGTTAATTTAATCCCAATGTTTTAGTTCTGTTTCTCATTTCAGCAAGAAAAAACCCAACTAATTAATGTCGATAACTGGAACAAAGTATCAAGCAAACATCTTCTCTAGCTCCTGATGTCTTCAAAAAATCAAGACTTGATGTCTGACTGGCTATAATTCTACACATTATTGGGTTCAATGCAAAAATAACTGGGAGAAATTGAAGATTTAAGTTGGCAGCAGAAGCACCAGCTAGTCTTACATTGCAGTTATAAGACGATACATTTACCTCATGGCCCACTACATCCCTTGGGAAGCCAGGCATGAAGTCCATGACCAACCATGTGTGATCCTGCAGCCCATAGCAGCAAGAACAGACTCTGCCAGCCGGTAGAACAGGGGGGCTTATTGCTTCTCTAGGATACAGCCCAGCACAGACGTGATGTGGCTACAGGAGTCAGGGCCAGGCTGCCTCAGACCCCTTGAGATGGGGTGCCTGGCCCCCTAGACTCACAGCCCCCTCCTTAGTCTGTCCCTTTCATGGTCCCAACCAAAGACTCCCCCTCCCCCAACACTCACTTCCTTTGTCCTGTCCCTTCCCTGGTAGGACCAGTTCGGTCGTTGTCATGGGACCCTCAAGATGCCCTCTGTTGGCTTGTGCTTACAGACAGAGGCCAGCAGGGGTCACCCACAGCCCACAGCCCACAGCCCAAGCATAGCATCCAGCAACGTGCTGACACTACATCACACTATGTTCTCCCATGTTTGTGGTTTTCATGAGAGCCTCATGCACAAGCGAAATGCTCTGCCACCCGCGTCCTTCAGGGCCCCTTTGACCTGCTTGTTGCGGAGAGCGTAGATGTAGGGGTTGAAGAGCTGGACCACCACGCAGAACAGAAAGGACGCAACTTTGTCGAAGTTGTGAGCGCCCCGCTGGCCTGACCGGACGTAGCGGAAGATGGCGCTACTGTACAATAGCACCACCACCAGCAGGTGAGCGGAGCAGGTGGAAAAGGCCTTCTTCCGGCCCGTGGTGGAGGGGATGCGCAGGATCGTCCAGATGATGAAGACGTAGGAAATGATGGTGGCCGTTAAAGTGCCAGGTAAGACAAGTATAGCGACCACAAAGATCATGACCTCGATGTGCGCCGTGTCCGTGCAGGCCAGCTGGAGCAGGGCGGCCGTGTCGCAGTAGAAGTGGTTTATGATGTTGGGGCCGCAGAACGGCAGCAGCACAATCATAAATGTTGGGGGGAAAATTAAGAGAAAACTCATCACCCAGCAGCCCAGCACTAACTGGGAGCAGACCCTGGTGCTCATGATGGTGTCGTAACGCAAGGGATGGCAGATGGCCACGTAACGGTCAAAGGACATAAGAGCCACATGGAAAAATACACAAGTGCCCAGGAGAAAGAATACCAAGAGTTGGAGGAAACAGCCGGAGAGAGGGACCGAGTTCCTGTCCGTCGGGAGGCTGTAGAGGAACCGGGGCAGGATGACGAAGCTGAAGCAGATTTCCAAGAGGGAGAAGTTCCAAAGGAAGAAATACATGGGCGTTTGGAGGCGACGGTCCAACAGGGTGAGGCTGACAACACTGATGTTCCCCGTTAGCGTCAGCAGGGAGACAATCAATAGCCTCACTGGTCAGCCCCAAGAGGACAAACTCCTCCACTGTTGTGTGGTTCTTCATTTCTGGTGCCTCTTTAAGGAGAATTAAAAAAAAAAAAGTCAACAGCAGAGTGGGCGGCACGGTCCGGACAGAATCCGCTCCGAAAAGCTCCATGAATAAATAGAGCGAATCTCTTCAAGGAGAGACAGCTGGGCACCCCATAGATGTGGGTTTTTTGCAAAGAGATGACAGAGAAATGAGAACCAAGTGGAGGATCTCAGAGATGAGTGATTAATAATTGCGCAAAGAGCAAGAACACGAAGTGGAGGAGAAGGAATAATGAAAATAACTGATTTGTAAAAACATTCCTTTTTTACCCTTATTTTTCAGAGAAACCTAAATTATAAAAATCTAGCAGGCACAATTCTGATCTTCTACTCTGACCTCCTGTAGAACACCAACCGGGGCTGTTTCCCGGGATTTACTCCTCTCCTGCCCCTCCTTTCGAAAACCATCCCATTCCAATTTAAAATTTGTCAGTGTGGGAGACCCCATCCCATGGCTTGACATGTCACACCCAGGACCAAATGCCCCCCCAGCTCAGTTTTTTTCTTTGTGTTCATTCCAGGCCCTTGATGAAAATTATTAGAAATGCAGGGTCGAGATCTGAGCCCGGTGGGAAACCCAGAGCAAACACACCCGCTCTGCTTTTGAGTCAGTTCCATATCGAATCACCAACTCATAGCACCCTAGAATGGGAAGGGACCTCGAGAGGTCATTGAGTCCCATTCCCCGCCCTCACGGCAGGACCAAGCACCATCTAGACCATCCCTGACAGGTGTCTGTCCAACCTCCTCCTTCTCCTCCTCCTCATCATCAACAGCCATGGGCTCAGCGCCCGTTGGGGTCCGATGCCTCCCTCACTATTTCCTTCCATCTTTCCCTGTCCAGTGTGCAGTGGCTTAGTTTCAGTAGACTAGCTCCGCACCACTCTGCTATATCATCTCCCCATTCCCTGTGGGATCTGCCTCTCTTATTCGAACCATCCATTATGCCCAATACCAGGGTCTTAACTTTTCACTCGTTCATTCTGCAGCTATGCCCGAAGAGCTGTACCTTCCATTGTATGACCTTCTGCAGTAGGTTCTCTTTCGGCCGTATCTTCCTATAGAATTCTTCGTTGGTGACCCTCTGCGTCCATCCTATTCTCAGCCTCTTTCTATAACAACTCCTCTGGAATGCCAATATCCTGCTCTTCAAATCTTTCGTTATCACCCATGTCTCACATCCATACAACATGCTGCTAAATACACACGTTTTCAAGATGCTCAGCTTTGTTCCGAAGCTAACTGCTTTTCTTTTCTGGATCTTATCCATCACCTTCAAACTCGCTCTTGCTTTCACTATTCTAGTTGCTATTTCCTTCTTACCGTCTAGCTCATACGTCATGTTGTTCCCCAAATACGTGAACTTCTCTCCATTCTCTAGTTCGATCCCATCTACACTGATCTTCCTTCCTATTTCCTTATCTCCAAATACCATTGTCTTCATTTTATTCATATTCATAATCAGTCCATACCACTTTCCTTCCTTATTTAGCACCTGCACCCTTCTCGCTAGCTTCTCTTCATCTTCCAACCTGCTCTTCAATATCTCCAGCGGTGGAGGTTCCACAACCTCCCTAGGCAACTTGTTCCAGGGCTGAAACCAGCCCGCGTTCCCAAGGCAAGTTAGGGAAATGCAGTCTAAATGAAATATAAGATGGGTGCAAAATTGATTGGAAGTCCATGCTGAAAGTGTAATGATCAGTGTGCCCCTGTGTGACAGGGCGTTCGCCCTGCACTGGCCCTTTAAGAGCAAACCCCGGCCCGAAGCAGGATCTGGGAGTTCGGCCCCAGCTGAGGCCATATTAGCTGATTGGGGCCCAGCTGGGAACCATATACAATGATGGGCTGCTGTTCCTGTGGGGGGGGGCAGTGAGAGCCTGGCTGCTGGGGGAGGAGGAGGCTTAGGATATTGAAGACCAGTTTAGATAAACATCTATCAGGGATGGTCTAGATAGTATTGGGTTCTGCCATGAGGGCAGGGACTGGACTCGATGACTCTCGAGGTCCCTTCCAGTTCTAGTATTCTATGATTCTATGATTTAGTGCAGCCCGTTTACACAGAAAAAGTCAGAACCCCCTCCCCACCCGCATTGAGAGGACACTAAAAACAGACCAATCGAAATTAAAACCAGAGCCGGTAGAAGTCTTTCCAAGGAATTCTTTATTCTGTAACATAAAAAAATTGGCCTTCCAGGTCAAGTCAAAGAATTTAGAGTGAAATTGGAAAACAACTTTGGTGAAAAAGGAGACGCGTGAAGCAATATCAAACATTCCAAACATTTTATTTCTACATTTTGGAAAAGAATATGGTCGCTTTTTCTTTGCACGTGATATTTTATCTCGTAATTTAGACTGAAAACCTGTCGTTTGGCTGAACCCGAATGTTGTGATTTTTAGTTTGCCCCTGCCTGTTGTAATATTTTTTTTGTCATTTGAGCAAGAATAAGGGACAGGAATTACAAGGTTGAAAGCAAAACAAAGTGGATGAAATTCCAAACTCGCTGATATCGACACATCAGGGCTGACATTAAGGATCTTACACCTGTGACCTCACACTCTATGAAAACGGAGAGATAAACTCATCCTTGTCTACGGCTCCTTGACCCACCAAGATGATTGGGAGGGTTGTGTCCAAGTCCACTTCTGTCCACGGAGCTTGGGGTGTGGGATGTTCATGAGAGCCTCAAACGCCCAGAAAATGCTCTCAAACAGGCATCCTTCAGGGCCGCTTTGATCTGTTCGTTCCTGAGCGCGTAGATGTAGGGGTTAAGTAGCGGGATGACCACACAGTACAAAAGCGACGCAATTTTGTCAAAGTCTTGCACGCCGCGCTGGCCGGGCCGGACGTAGCGGAAGATGCCGCTACCGTACAAAATCACCACGACCAGGAGGTGAGCAGAGCAGGTGGAAAAGGCCTTCTTCTGGCCCGTGGTGGAGGGGATGCGCAGGATCGTGGAGATGATATGGATGTAGCAGACGGCGTTGAAAGTCAAAGAACCAAGTAAGATAAGTGTCGTAGAAACAAAAACCATGACCTCGATGTGCGACGTGTCCGAGCAGGAGAGCTGGAGCAGGGCGGCCGTGTCGCAGTATAAGTGGTTAATGACGTTGGGGCCGCAGAAGGGTAAGAGAGTTACGATAAACGTTGGGGGAACATTGATCAGAAAACTCACCACCCAGCAGCCCAGCACTAGCTGGGAGCAGGCCCTGCTGCTCATGAGGGTGCCGTAACGCAGGGGGTGGCAGATGGCCACGTAACGGTCGAACGACATGACGGACCCGTGGAAGACCATACAGGCGCCCAGGAAGTAGACCAACAAGAGCTGGAGGAAGCAGCCAGGGAGGGTCACAGAGTTTCTGTCCGTCAGGAGGCCGTGCAGCAGCCGGGGGACGATGGCCGAGGTGAAGCAGATTTCTAAGATGGCGAAGTTCCGGAGGAAGAAGTACATGGGGGTGTGGAGGCGATGGTCCTTCAGGGTCAGGGTGACCAAAGAGGAGCACAAAGAGGAGGAGGTTCAGGCGAGGGCTGTCGGAGAGGCCCAAGATGATGAATTCCACCGCTGGGGTCTGGTTCCTCATTCTCCGCTTGCCTTTCTAGGAACCAAATAGACACACGTGTCAAACAGCGAATCGGGGAAAGCAGGGACGGGCCGCCCAGACCTGTCACTAAACACAATGCGTCCCCTCCGGGGTGACCGAGTGCCTGACGGACACGGGCTTCATGTCACACTCCCCGCGCAGCCTCTCGAACCACGAGCAATAGCTGGGGCGAGGGAGAATGAAAATCGTTTCTCGAAACTGCGGAAAAGCTTTTATCTTGCCTGGGCGCTCACGAACGGGGCTCAAAGTCACCCTGTTGTTTGAGGCCAATTCTACAACCCAAACACACAGGGAGCCTTGGTACGGAACTTCCTTTGCAGCTGTGGGGCCATCCCAGAAGTATGAATAAAGACAGTAGCTGGCTAGCACACTGCCTTCCACAGCCTGGACTTGAAACCAAACAACGGGCACTTGAGAACAATTTGCACCGTCTCCATCAGCTGCTATTGACTATTCCCCCCCTTTCCCTTCTTTTTCCTCCTCCCCCCATCCCCGATTCATTTTGGACCTGGAGCGGCTGAGGGAGTTGGGTCTGTTTAGTCTGCAGAAGAGAAGAGCGAGGGGGGATTTGAGAGCAGCCTGCAACTCCCTGAAGGGAGGTTCCAAAGAGGCTGGAGAGAGGCTGTTCTCAGTAGTGACAGATGCAGAACAAGGAGCAATGGGCTCAAGTTGTGGTGGGAGAGGTCCAGGTTGGATATTAGGAAAAACTATTTCCCTAGGCGGGTGGGGAAGCACTGGAATGGGTTCCCTAGGGAAGTAGTGGAGTCTCCATCCCTAGAGGTTTTTAAGTCTCGGCTTGACAAAACCCTGGCCGGGTAGATTTAGTTGGGTTTGGTCCTGCCTTGGGCAGGGGGCTGGACTTGATGCCTCCTGAGGTCTCTTCCAGCTCTCTGGTTCTATGACCTTTAATGCCTCCAGTCATCTGAAGAAGTGGGTTGTGCCCACAAAAGTTCATGGTCCTATTGACATGTTTGGTCCGTCTCCAAGGTGCAGCAAGTCTACATGTTGTTCATAAAGCTGTTCCAGTTACAGACCCACTCCTACATGCCTCTAGCTCCCATCCAGCACACACCATATGATTCATCGTCCATAGCCAAGCCCTTCGATACAACCGCTCTAATCCCACTGACAGAGACCAGGATCTCTACCAAGCATTTATAAACCTCAACTACCCACCCAGAGAAATAAAAAAGCAAATTGAAAGAGCCAGACGAATACCTAGAAACCATCTACTTCAAGACAGACCCAAGAAAACCAACAATAGAACACCACTTGTCATCACCTACAACCCCCAACTTAAACCTGTCCAACACATTATCAATAAACTACAGCCTATATTGGAACAGGATACCATACTCAAAGAGCCTCTGGGAGACAGACCCATAGTCTCCTACAGACAACCACCTAACCTCAAGATCATTCTTACCAACCACCACAGGACATACCACACTAATACCAACCCTGGTACCTTCCCTTGCAACAAACCCCGTTGCCAGCTTTGTCCACATATTCATTCTGCTGATACCATTATTGGACCCAACCAAGTGAGTTATAAGATCAAGAACACATATCCCTGCGCATCCAGAAATATAATCTATGCTATCATGTGCCGAAAGTGTCCGTCTGCTATGTACATTGGACAAACATCTCAGACACTTCGCCAAAGGATTAATGCCCACAAAACAGATATCAGACAAGATCACAAAGAGAAAACAGTTTCTTGCCACTTTAACCAGAAAGGACACTCTCTAAATGACTTAGCCACCTGCATTCTGCTACAAAGACCTTTTACATCTGCACTTGAAAGGGAATCCTCTGAACTGTCATTCATGTTAAAATTGGAATTACTTGCGCCATTATCTTCCCTGGCACAGAAGTTAAACTAACTGGTCTGTAGTTTCCTGGGTTGTTCTTATTTCCCTTTTTATAGATGAGCCCTAGATTTGCCCTTTTCCAGTTTTCTGGAATCTCTCCTGTCTCCCATGATTGTCCAAAGATGATAGCTAGAGGCTCAGATACCTCCTCAGAGCCCAGAGAAGTCTGGGGCGTACGTCAACACAACTGAAATTTGGAGAAACCTGAGTGTTGGTGGGAAGTTTGACAGCGCTTTCTTATTTTTGTTCTTTATACCCCCAAACATTTCATCGCCCGCCTGGCTACGATTGAGTAGTTTAAACAAATGTGTTGCAATGGAAGAATTAAATGGCGTTTCTGAAAACTGTAGGTACTGGGGGTATTTTTTTTGAAGAGGTACTTTCTAAACGAGGGTTGAGAGACACGGCTTGAGGAGCTGGGCTGTGTCCTGTCCTGGAACCCCCCTTTGGAAACACGGTGTGGCGGAATCGGAGAGGAGGGCGACGGGGCCAGGAACATGCTAAATGCCTGGGGAGCTTTCACAGGAGAAGGGTTTCAGAAAGGGGACCCGTTCAGCGTGGAGAGGCTGAGGGGGGAGCTGGAAACAGCCTTCCCATGGCCCTGTGCTGTTCTGTAGGGCTGGGCTGGGCCCATAGCTCTGACCCAAACGTCCCCAAAGCCAACCCTGAGTCCCTGCCGGGGCCCCGGTGCCAGGCTGCTGCGGCGGGTACTTACCGTGGGGCGGCACGGGGCAGGAGGGCACACACGCTCAGTGGGGGGGGACTCGTGTCTCCATCACAAAGCCAGCAGCTGAGTCCCCAGGCGCCCCGCCGGCCTCCCCGCTCCAGGCCGGCTTTTCACCAGCGCTTCTCCAGGCGTGCGAGGGGCTGGGGCGTGCGAGGGGTCCCCACCTGCCCGGGAGTGCGGCGTCTCAGGGCAGGGCCAAGGGCATTTTGCAAGGGGCTCAGGCTGCGGGGAGCCTTGGGCACGACGGCGAAGGAAACGGAGAATTTCCTGCATCAAATCTGTCCCTTCGTGGGGCTTGCGAGGGGAACCGCAGGGGGGCTGTGGCTGCCGAGATCAGAGTCACGCCCCACAAACACCAGCAACCCCTCTGCCCACCGGGAAACCCCTCGGCACGTCCCAGCTCCGGGGTGCACTAAGCCTGGGCCACGCTCGTGCGTCACCTCCCTTCGTCACACTTAGCGTGCGGCTCGCCCTGTGGGCCAGCGCCTCCCCCCACCCCACCCGTCGGCCTGCGCCGCAGTCGGCACAAGGCCCGCGAAACGCTGAGTCGGGGACCCGCTCGGCCACGCTGGCGCTGGGACCCTAGACGGGGATTTCGCTCCCCCCAGGACTGTCTCTGTCCCCACCCAGCCCTGGGAGGTGTCACCCCTCCAGCCCCGCCCGGCAGGCAGACTCTGGGCTCTCACTCCTACGCCGGGACGCCGGGGCCTGGGCGCACAAGGCCCGCGAAACGCTGAGTCGGGGACCCGCTCGGCCACGCTGGCGCTGGGACCCTAGACGGGGATTTCGCTCCCCCCAGGACTGTCTCTGTCCCCACCCAGCCCTGGGAGGTGTCACCCCTCCAGCCCCGCCCGGCAGGCAGACTCTGGGCTCTCACTCCTACGCCGGGACGCCGGGCCCTGGACAGCCGCAGCACAAGGCTACAAGGACCCCCCCACCCAGAGCCCGGTGAGGTGTGATCCTCCGACCGGGGGTGTGAATTTATGCCCTTCTGTCCCCCAGAGCACAGGGACAGGCGGGACATCGCTGCCCACACAGCCCCTCCTGCGCTTGCAACCTGCCACGGCTGGTCCCTCCCGTCGTTACTGGCCGGGGCCCCGGAGGCCAATTAGACAAGGAGCTTTGTGGAGGCTTTTCTGAGACGTCCCCTCTGAGAACCGGAGGGCAGAGCAGGACGCTGTTTGTGTCTCTGCCCCGGGGAGCTCAGGGGGTCGCTCTGACTTGGTTTTGTGGCCCCACACGGGAGACACAGAGAAGTCTGGGCCCCTCTGGCCGACGCTGCTGTCGCTAGAACTCACATCAGGGATTGGCGGGAATCGCCCCGTCCCCAGCCCCTCTGCACGGCCGGGCACGGCAGGGAGATACCGCAGCGCTGGAAACACCCAGGGAAGGGCAACGAAGCTGAGTCGGGTTTGCAACACGTGCCTTATGAAGAGAGATTAGTAAGACTTGGATGTGTTACCTTAGACAAGAGGAGACTAAGGGGGGCTGAGAGACGTCTCTGAAATCATGGGTGGGGTGTTGAAAGTAAACAATTCAATGTGATTTACTTGTTCCCATAACACAAGGACCAGAGTCAGCGAATGCAGTTCATAGGTGGCAGGTTTACAATAAAGAAAAGGTGATTTCTTCACACGGGGAGGGATAGCTCAGTGGTGGGAGCACTGGCCTGCTCAACCCACGGTTGGGAGCTTAATCCAGGGGGCTGTTTAGGGATCTGGGTCAAATCTGTCAGGGATGGTGCTTGGTCCTGCTTTGAGGGCAGGGGACTGGAGTCATGACCTCTCAACATCCCTTCCAGCTCTATGAGATGGTATATCTCCATATTATTATAAGTCAACCTGCGGAACTCCTTGCTAGAGGATGTTGTGAAGGCCAGGACTTGGACAGAGTTCAAAAAAGAACTTGGTAAATTCATGGAGGACAGGTCTGTCAGTGGCTATTGGTAGGGTGGTGTTCCTAGCCTCTATTTGTGAGAAGGTGGGAACGGGCGAGATGAGAAGGATCAGTTGATAATTCCCTCTTCTGTTCAGTCCTTCTGGGGCACATGGCTCTGGCCACGGTGGGCAGACAGGACGCTGGGCTGGGTGGGCCTTTGGTCTGATTCTGATCATTGAAGATCTAGAGGCTGTTGGTGGGCTTTTCGAAAGCATTTGGGTATCTTCCTCCCATTGAAATCAGCGGCTGGCCCACGCACCTCGGACCAGCGGACCGTGGAAGGCAGTGGAGCGTGTCCCAAAAGGCACGGAGAAGAGAAGCTGTGTTGTTCTCACTCCTCACGCCGGACACGGCCGCGTCTCCTGGCCAGCAGCAGATCTATCCCTGGCAAGGACCTTACCCAATTAGTGTACATTGAAACCAGACCCGGAAAGCAGTTCACACGTGTATTGAGGGAGAAGTCACAATAATTAGGGACAATGATTAAACAATCAATAATAAACAGCCGCACCCAGGAAATTAACCCCTGAAAACACAGAACAGGAGCTATCAATCGGGAGGGAGCCCAGACCCAAAATATCCCAGGTGGTCGAAGGAAGAAAAGGACGATAGCACAGCCCTCAGACCACAAGGAAGTTTACATTATGGTGTAGAAAGAAGAGAGATTAAAGAGATGGGGACTTTACAGCTTAGAAAAGAGGAGACTAAGGGGGATATGACAGCGGTCTATACAATCAGGAGTGGTGTGGAGAAAGTGAATAAGGAAACGTTCTTGACTTCTTCCCATAATATAAGAACTAGGGGTCACCAAATCAAATGAATAGGCAGCAGGTTTAAAACAAACACAAGGAAGTTTTTCTTCAGTCAGCGCACAGTCAACCTGTGGAACTCCTCGCCAGAGGATGTGGTGAAGGCCAGGACTATAACAGGGTACAAAAAAGAACAGGGCCCATCAATGGCTATGGGCCAGGACGGGTAGGAATGTGTTTGTCTGGAAATGGACGACATCTGGCGTTGGCCATGGTGGGCAGACAGGACACTGGGCTGATGGACCGTTGGTCTGACCCAGTGTGGCCATTCTTATGTTCTAACTGCTGCCTCTCAGAGACATGAATTAACTACAGCAATGGCAGAGCCCGCCAGCGGAGAGATGGGTGACAAGTGCGGATCCCGCGAGGGTATCTGCCCCTTGCGTCACGAGGGGCCTGGGCCGCTGGAGGAGGCGCGCTGCCCGCACTCGGTCCCCGCTGGAGCGGGGGGAAGAGACGTGCTGAGCGGGGCCGGCGGGGGCGGGGCTTTTATCAGCCCCGCGGCGCGACAGTTGCGATGATTGACAGCCCGGCAGTGCGCCACTCCTGAGGTAAAAGAACGTTCAGGGGCGCCTGGCGGGAAAATCCAGTTCCAGCCGGATCAAGCCGGCTCTGCCCCTGGCTGAGGTCATCGGGCTGCCTTCCAAAATGGAGTCCGGCCTCTCAAAATGGAGTCGTGGGATTTCAGACCCGCTCACGGCCACGTAACAACACGTCCCTGACAAAAGTCACGCGCCACGGCTGGGAGATTTCCCCTCCACGCCGGCGGGGCCAAAGGAAACATTTTGCACCGGGGACGAGGATGACCCCCCTCCAACGCACACATTGGTGTGTGAATTTATGCCCTTCTGCCTCCCAGGGGAACAAAGGGCTCCGAGCTCGGTTCTGCGTCCCGTCCTTGTGTCAGACACGGCTTTCTTTCCTTCCCGTCACTCATTGCTCGGGGGTGGGCTGGGGCTGAGGGGCCCAGGGGTGAGGGGACCACCCCAGCCCTCGCTCACTGCAAGCATCTGGGGGCCAGGCGAGAAGCTGGGGAGGGGTGCAGCCAGGACAGACGGACACACAGAGGGTGTGTCTACACTACAGGGTTTTGTTGACAAAAGTGGACATTTGTGGACAAAACTATCCCTGCGTCTACACTGCCGCCGCGTTCTGTCGACATCACGTCCACAACGCGGCAGTTCTGTGGACGGCGGTACACCGCGCTCTACGAGGAATGACGCCAGAGCCCTGTCGCCAGACGGCGTCATTGCATCTACGCCGTCCTTTGCGTCTACACGCTCACGCCGACAAAGCGGCTGCTGTGTCCACAGAACTGGATGTCGTCTGGCTGAAGCAAAAGACAGGACCATGCAGCACGTTAGAGACTCCCAAGATGGTTTCTTCGGTGATGAGCTTTCGTGGGCCAGACCCACGTCCTCAGATCATACGGCTGGCGAACCAAGACGGCGGCGCGGGCCGCGGGAGAGCAAGACGGGCCCCCCTGCCGCTGTCGGGGCTTCCCAGCTCTGCTCCTGGCCTCCAGAGCTATGTGGTCCTGCCTCCGCCACTGCGCCCCGAGCAGGTCTGCTGATGGCATCACCTCCCCGACGTTGCCTCTAGCACCCCGGGACCGACACAGCTACGACACGTGGCCGAGAAACACCGAGCAAGGGCCACGGGCCGGACGCTCAACCCGGACACGCGGAGCTGAGCAGCACGGCTGGGCCAGAGCAGAGCAGGCAGTCACTCCCGCACACAAACATTTCCGGTCAAGGAAACCACGGGCGAAGTCAGGCGGGTTCCAGAGATTGGCCAAAAAATAGAACGATAAAAAAATATTGAAACATTTTGTTCCAAGACTTTTGAAATGTAGTTCCCGCTTTTTTTCCCTTTCCAAATAATATTTGCCCCCCAAATCAGCTACATCTACCCCCTTTAGGTCAACCCAGACGGAATGTCTTTCTAAATGTTGTCAATTTTTAATGTAAGAATAACCCAACCATTCCTGGTTTGGCAAACCACCAGAGAGGCTCCGTCTCTTGAGGGCCTCCGGACACCGCTGGAGGGCCCTCGGCAGGGCACGGTTTGATCTGACACAAAGGACTAGGCTCAATGCTCACCGAACGGGGTGGAATCCCAGTACCATTTTGTGCTCAAGGGCAGGCTTAGAATCATAGAAGCTGAGGCTTGGCAGAGACCTTGGGAGTCCTCGAGTTCAACCTCCTGCCCAAGGCAGGACCAACTCCACTCAATCATCCCAGCCAGGCTTGGTCAAGCCGGGACTTGAACACCTCTAGGGATGGAGATTCCACCCCTCCCTAGGGAACCCAGCCCAGCGCTTCCCACCCGCCTAGGGAAA